TACATACACACACACACATACATACATACATACATACATACACACACACACACACACACATACATACACACACACATACATATACATACATACATATACATACATACATATACATACATACATACATACATACATACATACATACATATATATACACATTCTGTTTTGTTACTATAATTACACATTTCTGTTTTTCTTTCACACAAAGTAATACAGTGGAATTCCCTAAGGGGCCTCATTTATCTGCTGCCTTGGTTCATATTGGACACCATTGCTCCCCCAGTCCCCAAAATCACTTACAATAATAACTTCTCAAGTTCTTATGTAGTCTGGTATCTACAGGTCCTGTTTCTTCCACAGACATCCTGTGTGAGTCTAGGAAAACCACCCATCATTTGTTTATTTCATTTCCTCTAATAAGTAAAAAGAAGAAAAACTTACTTCAGTGTCAAGCTGCGGTCACACATTCTCCTGCTTAGCATAATGCTTAGTAATTTTGCAATATCAAGGTATTAAATTAAAAAAAATCAACTCAGTTTGAAACACTCCTGTATCCAGGAGAGTCATTCATTTATGATAGTAGTAATATGAATTGTCACTGCTGCAATCTTCCTATATCACATAGCGGGGTTCATGGATTTGTTAACTTTTAACAAGTACTGTCAGATAAATGTTGTAATGTACTAATAACCTGTATCACCATGACTAAAACAATGCTGCTTCTTTAGTTCAGCTTTCAGAACCAAATGTGTTTAGGATGCCATGGAGAGAAATGGCGGTAAGGGGGATAAATATCATAATTCCTTTTCAAAGGCTCCCTAGGAAATAGAAAAGCTGAAAGATAATTTTTCCCAGGCTTACTATGTGGAAAAGTTCCCACAATTTAATTGATCATTAGGCTAATGTGCCACCTAGTGGCTCTTGATAATTTCAAATTCCTAAAGGTGATTTTCCCCCATCCAATCTGTCACGCGCGCGTGCGTGCACACACACACACACATCCAACTCGTAGGTAATTATTTGGGGAGAGAAAAAAATAACCTCCTTGTCAGACAAATATAGTATGCAGTGTTGTAGAATCTCAGATTTGAATGCCAACCATTTTCTGTAGTATAGCAAAAGTATTTTGGCAAATACAGTGGTACCTCTACTTACGAACTTAATCTGTTCCATGACTCTGATAGCAAGTCGAGTTGGTCACAAGTCGAAGTAAATTTTCCCATAAGGTTCAATGTAATTACCGTTAATCCATTCCGGCGTCCGCGGACCATGCGTCAGGGGCGGAAAAACGGCTGCTGACCACGCGGCAGGGCAGAAAAAATGGCCGCGGACCACATGGAACGGGCGGAAAAATGGCTGCGGACCACATGGAACGGGCAGAAAATGGCCGCGGACCACGTGGAACGGGCGGGAAAATGGCCACGGACCACGTGGAACGGGCAAAAAAATGGCTGACCACGTGGAATGGGTGGAAAATGGCCGCGGACCATGTGGCATGGGCGGAAAAATGGCCGTGGACCACATGGCATAGGCGGAAAAATGGCCGCGGACCACGCGGAATGGGCGGAAAATGGCTCGTAAGTCGAGGA